GTCCAACCCATTTCCTTCTTTCTGGATGCCAACTACACTGATCTTATTTCATATCCCTTAAAGTACTTTGAGCCTACTAAGCTAATATGGCAGAATGAAAATGCATCACAGAATTTTCCTTTCTCACTAGTGAACACAATGTACAAAACATAAAAAATGACCCACCAAAAGGAAAACATCACCAATAGCAGCCAATTAAGAAAAACGGCAAGGAAAGAAACAAATTCTGTTTCCAAATCTAGAATGTTCCTACTTTTTTAAAAATAAGGAGTAAAGGAAATAGCTGCTGACCTTTAAGCAGAAATAAATTAAAATTGAGGGTTTCTATGGGGATAATTTGCTTTCTCTATTCTAAATTCATTTTGAAGTAAAATCTGTTTTCATTGGGGGGGGCATAAACCAAAGTTAATTTTTCTGGACAAGCTGAAAGGAAACTGAATGGCAGCCATTACACTTCCTTTAGCCAGAAATAAAACTGAAAGAAAGAAAACATTTAAAAGACAACCTATTTTAGAAAAAAGTATAATCCACCATACAGAAGGAACTTCATAATTTCATCATGCTATCAAGCAACTGAATTAGACCGTAAGTTCAGTAAAATGAACTTATTAGCAAAATGAGTTACAAAAATGCAATCCCAAACCTAAGAGAGACAGTTGAAAACCCAAATGTCACATAGTAACATGGTACATGCCCTTGATTCAAAACCCTTGTCACTGTTTTAGTTGGTTAATAAGAAAATTAAAGTGGAATAAAAAATATGTGCATTTTTCAAACAATATATTTTAAAGTTAAAAACATTTAAAGGTCTTTTATTCATCTTTCGATGTACGGGCAAGGTCTTTTGATGTACGGGCTAGGTCTCATTTGAGTATAGTTTTGAGATTGGAGTTCAGTTTTTTTTTTAAGTTTGAGAGAGAGAGAGAGTAAGGGAGAGGCAGAGAGAAGTGGGGAGAGAGAATCCCAGGCAGGCTCCACGCTGTCAGTGCAGAACTCCACACTGAACTTGATCTCATAAACTGTAAGATCATGATCTGAGCTGAAATCAAGAGAGTCAGATGCTTAACCAACTGAGCCACCCAGGTACCCTGGAATTCAACTTTTTTTTTTTTAATTAACTACACCTATAATATGCCATCAATAATTTCCAGTTCAGGTTTCTTTCAAGTAGAAGAGGGAGCTAAGGACACATTTAAAGTAATATGATCTTTTTCCCTTAACTTTTGGGAATTCAACTTTTTTTTTTAATGTTTGTTTATTTTTGAGAGAGAGAGAGGGAGATACAGAATCCGAAGTAGGCTCCATCCAGCTTTTGAGCTGTCAGCACAGAGCCTGATGCAGCACTCAAGCTTATGAACCATGAGATCATGACCTGAGCTGAAGTCTGAGTCTCCACTGACTGAGCCACCCAGGATCCCCTCAACTGTTTCTTTTTTAAGTGACTTGCTTTTCTTGAGTCTTTGCAAAGCCAGTAGATAGCATAGAACCAACAACTTTCTTTCTACACTCCTGTTTTCTTGGTTTTCCCCATAGCAACCATATTAATATCTTTACCTCATTGATGAGGAAACCGAGGCTTATAAAGATTTCATTTTGTCCAAATTGCAATTTAATTTATTTTGATCCAAAGAGTCCTCTCCGTGATGATAGATGTATTGAGAATTTTAACACGTTGAAACTTTAGGTGTAGAAAATCTCCAACGTAATGATAGCCAAAGCAGTAGGTTCTTTTTTTTACATGAAATAATACCACTATGTTTTTTATAATCTTTATAAACTTGGGGCGCCTGGGTGGCTCAGTTGAGCATCCAACTCTGGCTCAGGTTATGATCTCACAGTTCATGAGCTCAAGCCCCGTGTCAGGCTCTGTGCTGACAGCTTGGAGCTTGCTTCAGATTCTGTGTCTCCCTCTCTCTCTGCCCCTCTCCTGCTCACACCATCTCTCTCTCTCAAAAATAAATATTTTTAAAAATTTTTAAAATATTGTGTTATGATTGTAAGTTTATTTGACTTTGCATAAAACCTCTTAAAACAGATTTCAGAGCAACTAAGTGATCTGGTCAAAGGCCTTAATTATAATTCAGACAAAACCAGTTACTTGTTCAATGATTTTGCATAAACTAGGTAATCTCTTTAGGCTTCATGTTCCTAGTTTTACATGTAGAAGGTTCAGTTGAAAGGATCTTCAAGGTCTTTCCAATCTCTAATGTTCTCTATAAAATGTAAAGCCTTCTGATTGATATGTTACATAATAAACTTTTCATGAAACACTTGGTAAAATGCAAACTTTATATTGGATCTCCTACTTTTTAATGAATTGGGTGAAAAACGAATATAATGAAGTTCACAAATGACTCCATTGTTAATAAAAATTATAGATTTATCATAAAACATTCAGGAAACATTTTAAAATTAAGCAGCAAGGTAGCAGATAAAAATTTGTTCTAGTGACCTGAGTAATAATTCTTAAAATGAATTAGTCTAAATGCTATCAATCTACTATACACTGACTTTACTATAAAATTATTGGCCCAACATATATCAACAGCTGACTAAAGAGAATCAGAGAATCCTGGGGTATTCAAGTATTACCAAAAAACACCTTGTTTCTGTTTATTGGTTCACCTGTTAAAAGGGTTAATTCTGAACCATCTGAACCATGACAGCAATTCTTTTAACCCCCTGCTAATCCATTTGAATCCACCATACGATTATGCATTGCTTTAATCACATCACCTCCCCTCTCAAGGATTTTCAGTGAGTCCCTGATGCCTGCAAAATTAGGTCTAGACTACTTACCCTGGGTTTCAAGGCTCTCTGAGGTCGGGCCCCAGTCTGTCTTCCCAACTTCATTTCCTATTATTCCCTTTTATATGACTTTTACACCAGGCCATCTGATCTACTTGCTTTCCAGGGACATTGCTTCTTACCTTGCTCATGTGGCTCTGCTGTTTGTATTAACCTTGACCTCATTATCCCAGCTTTTCACTTTCTCCATCTTCCCAAATTCAACTCATATAGCACTTCTCTCACAAAGCCTTCTTTCATCTCCCCAGCCAGAATGTGTCTCTAATATGGAGATAATAAGCCTTTATCTGTGACCCTTAAAAACCTCTATCAAGAATAAAAGAGTGTTAAGTATATGACTGACTTCACTAGGCTTGAAATTTCTTTAGACTTAGTCAAATGCATTCTTGTGTGCTGAAAAACTACCAGCTCATAATGTGGCACATATGACTGGTATACACTGTTGGTTCTGGGCTCAACTCACCAAATATTTAGATACCTACTATATATATACAAGTCACTTCAGTACAAAGAGAGACATAAAAAGGTTAATATAAGACAAATGAACAAAAAAGTGTAATGGCTTCTCAGTTTGTAAAAAAAAAAAAATTGAAATGAAAATACCCCCTAACAAAAAACAACAACAAATAACTGCAGTAAAATGGTATCCTTTGGTTGTCAGCTTCCACTGCAGAAGGCAGGGAGGGCAGAGATTCGACATGTGATCAATTCAATCTGACCTACTGGTTGAGTGTGTAGAAAGTGACTCATGTAGAAGGTTTACACTTTAGGAGCTATCTTGCTCTTAGGTCACAGCCCAAGAGTTAGTAAAGGTTTATACAACTTAAGAAATGAATACATTATAAAATCATTGACCTTGGCACAAGGACATGACAGCAGAACATACTGGTTATGAGCATGGACTGTGCTAATTCATATCCCATCTCCAGCCCTGCCAGTGCGTGATCTTGGGTAATTTATTTAACCTCTCTCTAAAGTGGGAAATACTGATAATTTACCTTCACAGGGCTCTTAATGGAAGTTAACTAAATATATGCATGTTTGTGAATGAGTATATATGTGTGTTTTATGCCACTTAGAATAATGTCTGGCACACAGTAGTCATTAAATAAGTGCTTGCTAATATTAAGGAATATATTTTTCTTTATTAATAAATTTTAGAATCAAAGTTTCTAGAATCAAAGTTAAAAAAAGTAGTATTTGCTAAATGTTCAAATATCATCTGAACACTTTGTAAAGCATCATTGAATAGTAAAGGCACAGGGTAATGGGCAATTGGAAATGATATTCAAGATTTAACTTAAAGTTTAGTGATAGTATTTGTGAAAAGAAATAATGCAAACATGAGCAGGTTCATAGTTTTATGTTAAGTCCCACTGAAAATTACCAAAAGAAAAAAATTTTATATAAAAAGTAAGAGTAGGGAAAACTCAAGATTGGAATGAAGAAATTACATTAGGTTGCTTTTTCAGTGTTTATGATACTAAGTGGGATTACATAGGCCAGATTTATAAATATACTCTAAAACATGAGTGGTATCAGGGACCAATATCAAAACAGTGTCTGTTTATGTCCACTCCCTATAGTCCTGGAATGTTTATTTTTTAATGTTTTGTTTATTTTTGAGAAACAGAGTGCAAGCAGGGGAGGGGCAGAGAGAGAGAGGGAGACACAGAATCAGAAGCAGAATCCAGGCTCTGAGCTGTCAGCACAGAGCCTGATGTGGGGCTCAAACCCACAAACCACGAGATCATGACCTGAGCCGAAGGCAGATGCTTAACCAACTGAGCCATCCAGGTGCCCCAATTCTGGAATGTTTATACCTTTCTTCTTCTTCTTTTTTTTTTTTTTAAACAAAATATTTATTGACAGACAATATGGCAGCCACTTTGCTTAGCCATCTGAGATGATAAGAGGTAGATCTGGAAGTAGAGTTGGATAGGGAACGGGAACTAAGAGCAGAGGTTTGGGTTGGAAATACAAATGCAAGAAGCCATTAATGTTTAGGTAGTAGTTGAAGCACCCTCTGAATGAAATCATGTAAGTACTGGATTGAGTATTATGACCGAGAACTACTAAGATCCATGTTCTGGGCATTAAATAGTTTTTGAACAAGGTCTAGACTGGTTTATGAAGTCCCTCTATTTATACCTTTGCTTTGTGTTAATATATACATTTGCTTTCTTACACAGGTGGATGATTGTGGCTTTTCTCTGAGCCATCCTAACCAGTTCTTTTTTGAGAGCCAACGGATTCTAACTGGTAGTAAAGACATCAGAAAGGAGTCCATCCAACCAGAAGCTCCTCAACCCAAACCAAGTGTCCAGAAAAACAAGGATGCATCATCTGCTCTGGCCTCTCTGAATTCCTCTCTGGAAGTGGATATGGAAGGACTAGAGGATTATTTCAATGAATGATTCTTAAGCGCTTAGGAACCTTTTTCCTCTCTAGCTTTCATTTCTTTCAAGATTTTGCCTGTTTCTTTTTTAACCTCTTTGTCTACTCCCTCCACCCCACCCCAGTTCATCCTCTGGAAAGCAGGCTTACGGGTAAAAACAAAGACCTCCATTCTATTTTGCTTTGACAAAAGGGAAAAAAAGAAGAATTTCTCTTGAAATCTAACACTTGAGTGGTGTGATCTAAGTCCTGTTTTAGGAGACATAACAGCTTTCTAGACTGCTTACAGTTTCCTAGAGACAGTAGAACTAAAAACAACTATTAACCCTTACCACTGTAATTTTTACTTAATCCTTTTCTGGACCATTTTTGTCAATAAATACAAAAATGTGTATTAACGTGTGTGTAGTTGGAGGAGTCATATTCTGAGGAGGGATCCAAGACGGTGCCATGGGAAAATCCTGAATTCTACGCGGGACACACCCAACCTACACCTACAGCAGTTCTTTCTGAAGAACTAAAGGCTGACGAATAGCTTCTGCACAACAAAGGATAGAGAGGGGCCACACAAAGAAGGGTAGGAGAGCTGGATACACAGGAATGGGAATCCTACTCCCAGTGCTACAAGCTACAGTAGGGAGGGATAGTACTGAAGGGCTTGGATGCAGATTCGCCTAACCTAGGGCACAGCAGTAAAACAGTAACATAAAGAGCAACTAGACTGTATGTAAGTGAAGGCAATGCACTATTTTTTTTTTTTTTTTTTTTAAAGTTTATTTATTTTGGGGACAGAGAGAGACAGAGCATGAACGGGGGAGGGGCAGAGAGAGAGGGAGACACAGAATCGGAAACAGGCTCCAGGCTCTGAGCCATCAGCCCAGAGCCCGACGCGGGGCTCGAACTCACGGACCGCGAGATGGTGACCTGGCTGAAGTCGGACGCTTAACCGACTGCGCCACCCAGGCGCCCCGGCAATGCACTATTAAACCTAGAGCATCTGCCAAGCAGTAGAGAACTGCTGGAAATTTTCTCCAGGATGAAGGCACTGGTGACCAGCATTATTTATGTTCCCCCTCCACCTTGGCAGTATAGACAGGAGCAGCATCCTGACACTCTAGTCAATCTGCTGCCTCAGTGAGCCTTGGGCCTTTAGCACACACCAGCTCCAGCTGTCTTACCAAACTGCCCCAGTGTGGTACACACCAAGACATCCCTGGGCTGTGCCCATTATATGTCAACCATCTTGCCAAGGTGGCCCAGGTGCTAAGCATGGCAGGACACCCCTGGCCAGCACTGGCTTCCACTCCAGCTATCTCACCACGGCCGCCCTGGTGTAGAGAAAGCCCCAGCCCATGCCTGCCCTATTCTAGCTGTTCTGCTAGTGTGGCATCAAGGCAGGCACCCCAGGATCCATTCCAGCTCCAGCTGTCCAGGCCAGTGCAGCCCTGGCACCAAGTGTGTCAGGACCTCCAGCCCGCAAGCCCTCCAGCTCTAGCCAGCCAACCAGAGCCACCGAACGAACACGCATCCCATGCCACCACCCAGGGCCACTCCTTCAACACTCAGGTAGTTATTTCACCTAATTCATAGCAACAGAGAAAGTCAAACAGAGGGATACTGTCCAAAAGAAAGAACATGACAAAATCAGGGAAAGAACTAAACAAAATGGAGATAAGCAATTTACCTTTTGGTAAAAGAGTACCAAAGTGAGTTCTGGCCTAAGATAGTGAGGTAGGAAGACGCTGAAGTCATATCCTCTGTGGACACACCAAATCAATACCTATTTATAGAGCAATTCCTCCTGAAGAACTAAGGGCCAATTGGACAGCTTATGTACAACAAAAGACCACATAGAGAATGACAAGAGAGACACAGTAACAAGGGAACCCCATCCCTGATGCAAAGTGCAGTAGGGAGAGAGAGTACTGAAGGAATAGAACACAAGAAAAAGCCAGTTTAAAAGAGTAGTATATAAAAGATCCAGCCCTAGAACTCCACCAAACAGGGAGTTGGTGGGACTCTATCCAGGCCAGATGGGATGTTAAGCAGCATGGTTTATGCTCCCTACCCCTTGATAACTGAAGATGGTAGCAGAGTTCTGGATGCCACAGCCAGCTTGCTGTCTCAGTGAGCCCCTAGACTCTTAGCCTATGCCAACCCAGCCCATTCTACCCAGGAGGCCACAGCATGGTGCACACGGATGCCCCTGGTTGGCACTCACTACAGCTCCAGTCATTGCACCCAAGTGACACAGGTGCAAAGCATACCAGAATACTCCAGGGCCACAGCACTTTGGTTACAGACAGCTTGCTAGAGCACCCCTAGAGCAGAGCACTGTGGGACCTCCTGGCTCATGCCTGCTCATCTCCAACCACCCAGCCAGATAACCCCCTGCATAGAGCATCCTGGAAACCCCTAGTCCATAGCCTGCCTCTCAGCTCTAGCCTCCACACCAGAGCATCCCCTGTGTAGACTGCCCTGGAGCCCCCAGTCCCCCATCTGCCTCTCTACTGGTCACCCTACCAGGGCATCTACTGTGTGAAGTGTCTCAGAACACCCCAGGGCACACCGGCCTTGGCTTTAGTTACCCCAACAGGGCACCCCCTGTGCTGAGTACACCCAATACACTGGCTTGCACTCATTTCAGCTCCCAGAGTGCTCCCAGCACAGAGTGGCCCAGGACCCATCCTGTTGTTCACCCACTTCAGCTTCAGCCGCCATACCAGGGTGCCCTATGAGCAGAGTCCAGAACTGCCCATGCCCATCTCAGTTTCAGCCATCCCACCAAGATAGGCCAGCACAAAGTGCTTCAGACCCCCAGCCCATGCCAGCCGCAGCTCCAGCCAGCCAGCCAATGCCACCAGGCACACAGCAAAGACATGGGATAACCACACACAAGATCACTCCTTCAAGTTTTGGAGAAGTAGCTGTTCCAACTAATTCACAGAAACACAAAAAGCCAAACTCCCCCCTAAAAAGAATAAGACAAACCCTCAAAAAAAAAAGAGCTAAATGAAACAGAGGTAAACAATATGCCTGATAAAGAGTTTAAAGTAATGATCACAAATATGCTCACTAGACTGGAGAGAAGAATGGAAAAACTGAGGGGGCACCTGGGTGGCTCGGCAAGTTAAGCACCCTACTCGGCTTGGGTTATGATCTCACAGTTCATGGGTTCGAACCCTGCATTGGGCTCTCTGCTGTCAGTGCAGAATCTGCTTTGGATCCTCTGTCTCCCTCTCTGCCCCTTCCCCATTCGTGCTCTCTCTCTTAAAAATAAATGAACATATTAAAAAAAAAAAAAAAAACAGAACAAAGATATGGAAAATATAAAAAAGAACCAATTGGAGTTGAAGAATACAATAAATGAAATGAAAAATACACTAGAAGGAATCAACAGAATAGCAGATGCAGAAGGGCTTCATGATCTGGAAGATAGTGTACTGGAAAGTGCTTAACTGACAGTAAAAAGAAAAAAGAATTTATTAAAAAATGAGGATAGGTTAAGGAATCTCTTCAATACCAAGTGAATAGATATTCACAGTATAGTGGTCCCATAAGGAGAAGAGATGAAGAAGAGTGAAAACTTACTTGAAAAAAAAAATTGCTGAAAACTTTACTAACCTGAGGAAGGAAACAAACATCCAGGAATGAACAAAAAGTTCCAAATAAGATGAATCCCAGGAGGTCTTCACCACAACACATAATAATTAAAATGTCAAAGTTTAAACATACAGAGAACATTTTAAAAGCAACAAGAGAGAAGAAACTAGTTATATACAAGGGAAACCCCATAAGTATATCAGCTGATGTTTCAGCAGAATCTTTGTAGGCCAGAGAGGAATGGCAAGATATATTAAATCAGCTAAGAGGAAAAAAAATTACCTATAAGAAAGAATACTGTACTTGACAAGGTTATTATTCAGACTTAAAGGAGAGATAAAGTGTTTCCCAAACAAAAATTAAGGAGTTTCATCTCCACTAAACTGACCTTATAAGAAACATTAATGGGTAGCAGGTTAGAGGAAGCAGAGGAACAAATTAATGACCTGGGAGACAGAGTAATGGAAAGTGATCAAGCTGAGCAAATGAAAGAAAAAAGAATTATGCAAGATGAGAATAGACTTAGGGAACTCAGTAACTTCATTAAGCGTATTAATATTTCATTAAAGGGATCCCATGAGAAGGAGAGATATAAGGGCAGAAAATTTATTTGAAGAAATAATAGCTGAAAACTTCCCAAATCTGTTGAAAGAAACAGATATCAACATCCAGGAGAGACAGAGATTCTCCCTGCAAAAATCAACCCAAAGGGTCCGTGCCAAGACATATAATATTCAAAATGGCAAAAGAAGTGATAAAAAATTTTTAAATCAGCAAGAGAAAAGAAGACAGTTACATACAAGGGAAATCTCATAGGCTATCAGATTTTCAGCAGAAACTGCAGGCTGGAAGGGAGTGATATGATATATTCAAAGTGTTGAAAAGGAAAAGCCTGCAGCCAATAATACTCTATCCAACAAAGCTATCAAACTGAACAGAAGGAGAGATAGCCACTACTACAAAGGTGTAATCATGAAGACAGCATGGTATTGGCACAAAAACAGACACAGAGACCAATGGAATAGAATAGAGACTCCAGGATTGGATCCACAAAAGTATGGCCAACTAATCTTTGACAAAGCAAGAAAGAATATCCAATGGAAAAAAAGACAGTCTCTTTAACAAATGGTGCTGGGAGAACTGGACAGCAACATG